TTACGGCCGGTCCATGAAGAACCGTCTGAAATTTGAATAATGTATGGCCAGCTTAACAATCAACATTTGCTAATGATATTTTTATCTCAGTTAAAGACAGATCATATAATGAATGTTCTGAATGACCTAATCTTTAAATAGCAATAACTTGGTAATACATTGACCACAGTTTTTTTATCCACCTATAGCGAATATATACTTGCACCCTTCAGAATTCCATTGGCTGCAAAACTCAATCCAAATCTTTACATGACACGGATAATAGGGAGTGGTTCAAACATTACCATTCTGAACCCGTGATCCCAACCTAAACAGATTTCATATTATAAGGGTCTAAAGAAGATTGGTTCCTTTTGCAGCTGATATATGGATCTATTGCTGGTTTCTTAACTGTTCTTATGGTAAAAAACACACACAACATAAACCATCAGTTTCACAGGTTGACTTTATTTAACAGCAAAACTTTATACAAATACTTCCTTAATAGTCCTTGGCAAGTGCACCAGTTATCATGAGACTCACTGCCAACCAGTCTTCCCCGAACATATAAAGGTCCCTAGAAACAACATTAACATAATGCAGTTCTTCATTAAATTTGTGTAAAGGCAATGATGCCAGCTGCAGAAGTTCCCCTTGCCTAGTATGGGTTGTATGTGGCCATGAGGGGCAGCTTGTTGCATACACAATTTATGCTTGTAGACTTTCAATACAGTTGTTTCAGTTTAACAAACCAGCTTGATTTTATTATCTTTGTATATAAAAATACTGTTGTTATTTCCTCCCTATTTGGTGAGAGTGTTCAGTGTTGGAGAACTTATGAGTGATAAACTGCAGGAAGTAAGAGTCATTTAGAAACTTAGGGAACGGCCATGTTTGCTCCTGTTGTGGCCGCTGGAGCATATTGATTGATTTTCAGTTTTTAGATAAATCCCAATGGAAGTACTGGAGCTTCTAGAATTATGCCAAGCTTGTGGTCATGGAAGTGCCCACATAGTTTATAGTAAACAGCGGGTTAGCATTGAAAATAATGGTAAATGCTACATTTGAGTGTGAGAGTGTGAGTGCTTCAGAAGCGTGAATTCCACAGCACAGCCCCCTCTTTATATGTTACAGCCTTCTGCTCTCCTGGGAGTGTCTAATTACTGTCTGTGCTGACCCAGCACCTCCCTACATAACCTTTTATGCAGCTGCCGGGAAAGGAGTAAATGGGAATACTAGAGTGTAGCTTCAGGGACAGCTCTCTGCCTGCTGACATCCTATCTAGGATGGTGGTCGCCCAGCAGCAGTCTTAGAGATTTCTGGATATCCAAACAAGGGAGGCAAGTAAAATGCAAAATACGTTAAATGCCTAATAATCTTATGAGAAGATTGTTGCTGAATTTGGTTTAGTGACAGGGTCTCTTGCAGCACGTTAAGCCAGTTAGGGCTCCATTCCTTTTCCCAGTACTAGCTGCCTGACACAGCCTTTCTGAGCTGTTTTATTACAGAACCATTGAAATAATTGTGTTTTAAAGAAACCCTGCTAAAAAAATACTATGGGGTCTATTCACGAAGCTGCCGAGGACAGCCGAGTGAATGACCGATCTGAAGTGAAGTGAGCCGAACACTGTTCGGCTATTCACTTCAGGCTGGTACGGTTAATTTCAGCCGTACATCGTACAGAAAAAGCCATACAGAAAAATAGTTAAAAAGTACAAAAAAAGTAAATAGCAAACGATTGTGCGGCGCTAGCAGTGACAGCTAGCTCCGCCCAATAGTTTCCTATTGTCTGGCGGAGAGGTACATTAGTGGGATCACATTGATGGTTAGTGCAGAGCCGTAGCTCGCTCCTTTTGCGCCCGAGGCAAGAACAGAAAATTGTGCTCCCCCAACAGACGTGTGCTGTATGTGACGTCATGCTCTCCGCCTCTGGAATAGGGGCGCGCATGTGCAAAATGCGCTGGTGACCGGTGACCAAATCCATATAGCATAAAAAAATATTTGTCCGAAACAAATTTTTAGTCTGTGCACATGTCTAGTAATATTTGTGCATGAATGTGTGTGTGTGTGTGTGTGTGTGTATGTGTGTGTGGGGGACGCCCCATGGTAGCTACAGCCCTGGGTTAGTGGGAGAAGGGCCTCCTTACATTGGTGGTCTGTGGGTGAATGGCCCCCTACATTGGTGGTTAATGGGAGGAATGTCCCTTACATTGGTGGTCTATGGGAGAAGGGCCCCTTACATTGGTGGTTAGTGGGAGGAAAGTCCCTTAGTTTTGTGGTTTATGGGAGAAGGGCCCCCCTACTTTGGTGGTTAGTGGGAGGAATGTCCCTTAGTTTTGTGGTTTATGGGAGAAGGGCCCCCCTACTTTGGTGGTTAGTGGGAGGAATGTCCCTTACATTGGTGGTCTGGGGGAGAAGGGCCCCCTACATTGATGGTTAGTGGAAGGAATGTCCCTTACACTGGTGGTCTGTGGGAGAAGGGCCCCCTTACTTTGGTGGTTAGTGGGAGGAAAGTCCCTTACATTGGTGGTATGTGTGGAGAAGGGCCCCTTATATTAATGGTTAGTGGGAGGAATGTCCCTTACTTTGGTGGTCTCCAGAATAAGGGCCTCCTAACATTGGTGGTTAGTGAGAGAAATATCTCTTTCATGGTGGTCAGTAAGAAGAATGCCGGGGTTGTCTACCACTGAGTTACAGTAATGGTATAAGAAAAAATAAGTTGCAATAAATGAAGTGTACTTTATACTATTAAAAAGGATCTTGTAAACTACTCTGCAAATGTCAGCATCATAGGTAGCAATTCATGTTTTCCTGTTTCTAAATGACTCAGACTGAAGACACTGCCGGAATCGTTTCATTGGCTTCCACAGGGTGATTTTAAAGCTCTACACATGTTATATTGTAATTTGTTCTATCCATGCCAGGAGGCAACGTACGTCTCTGTTTAATAACGATTAAATGGGATGATTTCCACCCCAGATTGGCATTTAAGCAAATGGAAAACACATTATGAACAGAGGATGCCAGGTGTACACATAAAAATGCATGTTCTTATGGAGCAAATGATGAGATTCCACTGAGCTCTGCAGATGAAGTATTTGCATAGTGTCAGCACAGAGTCAGGAGGCTCCTTGAAAGCACCATGTGATACAGTAACACCTGGCACCTAAGGCTGAATGTTCAACAAGGCAGTATTATCTCCTGTGGTTCTATGGTAACAAAGACTAGAGTTACACTACAAATGTTTTCCTTTCTTACAAAATAAATAACAGGATTCCTGTACACTTTGGTGAATTCCCCAGAGAAGGTAGTCACAGCTTTAGGACCTCATGTACCAACGTAGAGAAAAATGGAGACTACACCCATAGAATCCAGATGACAGATTTCATTTTGATTATACACTAGAAAAGAAATGACTGCTAAAATCTGACTGGCTGCTATGGGCAATACCACTTTCCTATAGTTTCTGAACATGAAGGTCCATGTTAGAGGTACATGACTTGTTCAGGGACATACTGCACTTTATATACTGAATACAGGGTTCTCTTTAAGGTACTTTTAGTATTTCTTGGATACAGGGTCCTCCATAAGGTTCTTTCAGTATTTCATTTTCAGTCTTAGTGGATAAACATGTAATATATTTTTTCCACACTTTGGATGGTAAAAGTATAAAGATATTTATCTACACTTATAAGTCCATTATAAAGCAGTGGTATGGTCATACTGCAACCGAAGTGCTGCTCAAAAACAAAACAAAAACAAACTGCTCATATATAAAGAACAGCAATGTGCTTTACAAATGTGCTTAGCACTCCATTGGCTTTTAGACACTAAAGCCAGCAGAGCAATATTCTTCTGAATGGAAGAGAAGGAGGGAAAAAAGGAGGAAAGCCTGGTCATGTGACTTTTTAAATGTTATCCGACTAGCCTTTCCTCCAATCTCAGCTTAACACTCTAGACATGCATTTTATACATGGGCCACAAAATGTGGGTCGTGGTGTAGAGTTCTATTCTAGTAAATACATTTCCATCTAGGTGCCTGAAATACCAAACTCCTAGTTCTGTTATATTTGGTGACCCAAATTGGCTGCACATCATATTGCAATCCCAAAAAGTTTAAAGCTCTCCAATCTGCTACAAAAGCCATAGTGCAATCCTAAAATGTTTAAAGCTCTCCAATCTGCTACAAAAGCCATAGTACAGTCCTAAAATGTGTACAGCTCTCCAATCTAGTAGAATGGAACACCCATAAGCCACACTACCCAAAGAAACAATGGCCAAAATGTTCAATCAACATAGAGCAAATATTGCACAATACAGCTGATATTTTCATGGTCCAGATTGGAAAATGAGAGCTGTTTGCTATGTGAAAAAACAATTTCACATGAGACACTGTGGGGGCTGATCAAAGAAAGTGGCGGCAAAGAAATTTGAAGCAAAATGAATACTTTTCCCCTCAGCGGCCAGTGAGAGTCCATGTTTTATTGCAAAGACGAAGCCTGGGTGACCTCTGTCCACAATGGCTCCATCTAATGCCAACCCTTTTGCTTCAGTCTTTACAAATCATTGTCTTTGAACCCCAGCCTACCTTTCAATTTATTATTCAGTTTGCATGTTGTTGCAAAATATTCTACAAAACAGGATTACTGAACATCCAGGACCTGAGAACACTGGGTGACCCCCATTTCTAGTGCTTAACAACCACAGAACATTCTTCCAATCTAGTACCAGGGCCTGCTTGATGGGAAACAAACAGAATATACTGTTGAGGTAGACCCCCATATTACATCTTTTTGGTAACTATACAGGAGACTGTAGAGAGATTGTACAGATTCTAAAGTGTATGTTCAGCTTTTACAATTAGGGTAACCCATGATTTCTCTATAGTTTCATGTGCAGCATATAACGTCTAAAGTCATGTACCTTTAACATTCAGGATCTTAACAATTTCTGGGTGGACAAGATACTGTGACTTCAACTAAATGGTCCAAAGATATAGAAAAGAATGTTTTTCTCTTTGTATTTTAGCAAAAGGGTAAAAAGAACTAATTTTACAAAAATCTGTAAAATGTGTCATAAACATACACACAACATTGGCGGCATACAAGAGACCGTTAACTTGCCCCAACATTTTACGCTTGTCGATTCAAGCAGCTGGAAAATATTGCACAGCAGGAAACATGGTCGTCTCGGTCTTTTACACACAAATGTGCTTTAGGTAAAAACATGTATCCCCCTTTCTATATAAAATGTGATTACAAAAATCCAATTCAAGGTCGTCCTTACCCAATATTGCACCATTGATGTGCTGTAGAATCAGCAAAATGTACATATATATCTCTGTGAATAAATGACTGCTTCTCATAAGAACATTTCCAGAAATAAGACTTCTCAAGAATGCCCACAACACTGGCAGTCATGATGTGCCTGAAGATATCCCTCGGTGATGTTTTGTGAACTGCTTTGAAGTAGAACAGCAGGAATTGTATTTGGAATGAGAATCAGCCCTTGATGTAACAGTACTGCTGACTGAACTCCAGCTTGTAGTGCAGGAAGAGGGATGCAGACAATGGTAGCATCCCCGGGTCAAGTCAATCACACCATGTTACATGGCTGCGCACTTCTTTGGGGAAGAATCATCTGCATTTGCTTGCTTCCGAATGCTTTCTGTAAGGTTAAAAAAAAACACTTAATATTAAACATTAAAAAAAGAAAACCTGCACATGCTGCCAGGGTATTAACACAGTTTTGCAGGAGTTTGGGGAGCACAAAAGTAGCTGAATAGTCACTTAACTTACACTGGCTCTAACCAACATAAATTGCCAGGGAGCCTTACAGCAATGTACATCAGAGACCTGAGACTCAACATGTACATCAGAGAATCAACATGTATGTCAGAGACTCAACATGTATGTCAGAGACTCAACATGTATGTCAGAGACTCAACATATACGTCAGAGAATCAACATGTACGTCAGAGACTTGAGACTCAATATATAGGTCAGAGACTCAACATGTATGTCAGAGACTCAACATGCATGTCAGATACTCAACATCTACATCGGGGACTCAACATGTACATCAAAAATTCAACATGTACATCTGAGACTCAACATTTAAATCAGAGACTCAAGACTCAACATGTACATCAGGGACTCAACATGTACATCAGAAACTCAACATGTACGTCAGCGACTCAACATGTAAGTCAGAGAATCAAGACTCAACATGTATGTGAGAGACTCAAGGCTCAACATGTATGTGAGAGACTCAAGGCTCAACATGTATATCAGAGATTCGAGACTCAACATGTATGTGAGAGACTCGGGGCTCAACATGTATGTCCTAGACTCAACATTTATGTCAAAGATTCAACATGTATGTCAGAGACTCAATGTGTACGACAGAAACTCCAGAGTCAACATGTACATCAGAGACTCAACATGTACGTCAGAGACTCAACATGTACATCAGAGACTCCAAATGTACGTCAGAGACTCAACATATAATTTAGAGACTCACAACTATCACAATATCATTTTTAGAAGACAGACACAAGTCAAGATGATAATAATGCTCAGCTTGGCTGCAAATGCACCTAATTCCTGCAGATGCGAGTAAACATTTAGAACTCATTAGGCATACAGGGTAGAATAGTCCTGTATCTTCAGTGCCCAGGAGGCCCAGCTGTTCCACTTTTCTGTCCATAGGAATGTATGGCGAGAAAACACTGTATGCGTGTTTACATGCGGATTGGTGTAAATTTACAAAAGCAGAAATTTTGTGTATTTGGGAACTTGCGCCTGTGCAAATGCTGGTAACGACGTATACCCGCATACTGCATTTTCTCTCCGTACAGCCCTATGGACAGAAAAACACAGCAGCTGGGACTTTCGGGCGTTGAGTATTTTACATGTATGTCTATACGCCTGTATGAGCCCCATGTGCATGAGCCACTATAAGCATTAGTAAAATCATTAAGGAGGTTTTTAAGGGCCTGTCACCAACACACATGGGATAATTTTTATGGCCAACATTAATAAATTATGCAAAACTCCAGACACACAGCTACACACACAGTAGGAATACACACATTTTTACTACCAATGGATTTGTACATCTGTACAGCTAATCTTGTGATTTCCACACATTTTTCACACTGCAAAGCCAGACAGGTTTCTGATTAAACAATTCATCTTCCTCGTTCAGCAATCCAACTTCCTATATCACCTCTCAACCTCCAGCCTGGGACAGACAGGACAGTAACACAGCATCATCGTCATCCTTGTCCAGGGAGCAGCAAGGTGACCAAGGAAGCAAGGCCAGGAAAAAATCTATTTATTATGTATTCGATCATACAACAATTATATTATATTAGAGCCAACCTCTGATATAGCTTGCCCCCAGAGTACATACATACAATCAGGGGCGTAACTAGAAATCACAGGGCCCCATAGCAAAGTTTTGTATGGGGCCCTGTGATTTCTAGTTATACCCCTTGCAGAGCCCACTTGAGATCCCACACAGCCCACCTGAGGGTGACCCTGCAGAGCCCACCATAGAGCCTCTATGGTGGGCTCTGCAGGGTC